ACTGCACTCAACTGAACTGCACTCAACTGAACTGCCCTCAACTGAACTGCACTCAACTGAACTGCACTCAACTGAACTGCCCTCAACTGAACTGCACTCAACTGAAATGCACTCAACTGAACTGCACTCAACTGAACTGCACTCAACTGAACTGCCCTCAACTGAACTGCACTCAACTGAACTGCCCTCAACTGAACTGCACTCAACTGAACTGCACTCAACTGAACTGCCCTCAACTGAACTGCACTCAACTGAACTGCACTCAACTGAACTGCCCTCAACTGAACTGCACTCAACTGAACTGCACTCAACTGAACTGCACTCAACTGAACTGCACTCAACTGAACTGCACTCAACTGAACTGCCCTCAACTGAACTGCACTCAACTGAACTGCACTCAACTGAACTGCACTCAACTGAACTGCCCTCAACTGAACTGCACTCAACTGAACTGCACTCAACTGAACTGCCCTCAACTGAACTGCACTCAACTGAACTGCACTCAACTGAACTGCACTCAACTGAACTGCACTCAACTGAACTGCCCTCAACTGAACTGCACTCAACTGAACTGCACTCAACTGAACTGCCCTCAACTGAACTGCACTCAACTGAACTGCACTCAACTGAACTGCACTCAACTGAACTGCACTCAACTGAACTGCCCTCAACTGAACTGCACTCAACTGAAATGCACTCAACTGAACTGCACTCAACTGAACTGCACTCAACTGAACTGCACTCAACTGAACTGCCCTCAACTGAACTGCCCTCAACTGAACTGCACTCAACTGAACTGCACTCAACTGAACTGCCCTCAACTGAACTGCTTTCCCCACCTGAGGCAGCGAGCGGCGTGCGCGTGTCCTTGAGTCCGCGGAATGCGCCCTGAGTCGTCAGAAACAGCACCACGGCCGGCGCGCCCACGGCTCGTATCAGCAGGTACTGCAGCGCGGGCTCGCGCATGGGCGAGCCAGGCGCGAGGCCCATGACAGTGAGCACGGGCCCGGCCGCCAGGGCGAGGAAGAGCGCCTCGAGGACGCCGAGCGACACGCCTATGAGCAATGCCGCTGACACCGACGGCACCACGGGCTTGGATGGGGGGTCGGAGAGCGAGGAGGGAGAGGATAGAGTGGCGGCAGGAGCGGATGGAGAGGAGGAGGAGGAGAGTGTGGACGAGCCTTTTTCCTGCTCCTGGCGCTGCTGCGAGAGGGCATGCTCGTCCTGTGCGACGAAGGAGGTGGTGACGTTGAGCAGCGGCACGTTGAGCACCTTGGACACCAGGCTGAACACCGATATCGCCACGCCCACGCCGCCCAGCTCCACCGCCCCTAAGAGTGGGGGAAGGGGGTGATGGGGGAAGGGGGTGATGGGGGAAGGGGGTGATGGTGGCCCGGGGACGAGAGGCCGGAGAAGCGCGCTTAGCTATCCGCCAAACAGGCCACTGAAAAGTGAGTCACTAATCTGTTCGAGAGATTATCACATACTTGCCAAATGAAGTACCTATCTGGCCGATGTAGAACGTGTCCACCAGCGACGCCAGGGGGTCGGCGGCCAGCGCCAGCAGCGCGGGCAGCGCGATGGCCGCCATCTCCAGGCCCAGGGGGTCCGGGGCGTAGGCCGCGCTGCCGGGGGTGGGGAGAGAGGGTGGCGGTGATGACGGGCAGTCACGACAGCTGATGCCATGGCTCTTGGAACCTTGCACCTCCCTCTCCCCCTCCCTCTCCCCCTCCGTCTCCCCCTCCCTCTCCCCCTCCCTCTCCCCCTCCCTCTCCCCCTCCCTCTCCCCCTCCCTCTCCCCCTCCCTCTCCCCCTCCCTCTCTCCCTCCCTCTCTCCCTCCCTCTCTCCCTCCCTCTCCCCCCCACTCTCACCGTGCATCTCGCCAGAACCGTGCCGCGCCCTCCAAGTACCGTCCGCCTTCCCGTCTAACCACCGCCGCGCCACTCCCCCCGCCATCCCCCGATGTCGCGCGCGGAGCCATGGCGCGGCCATTACCGCCGCTGCAGCGGGCTCGCCTGCCCAAGGTGCGCCCATCGCCTCCTCCCCCAAGACCGCTGCCACCTGCGCGCCGAGCACTCGGCGCGGACAGCGCTACCCGCGGCGTGCGGCCGAGAATTTCCCGCCGGAACACGAGTGCGCGCCCCGAGCGTGCTGCCGCGGGCCTGAAGCTCGTCGCGCTGCTCAGCGCCGCTGAGTGGTCGCGTGCCCACTCCCCGCGCGGCAGGCCGGAGAGAGCCGACCCGCGGCCATGGATGCTGGCAGCCCTTCCAGCCCGCTGTGGAGGCACGGCTTGAGCCCCTGGTGTCATCAGAAGCGAATCCGGTAAATGGTTTTGGGAGCGCTCGTGATAGTTTATGCTGCTGTGCAACGTTACTATAAACATAATAAGACTTGTATAACGTCCGTTGTCGTCCAGCCTGGTTAGGATACCTGGCTTTCACCCAGGCGACCCGGGTTCAAATCCCGGCAACGGAGCTTTTCCTCAGAAGGGAAACCACCCAGAATGGAGTTTTTTCTCACAGGGAAAACCGACTTAGGCAGCACCTTTTACTTCCCTTTTATTTCCCTTTCATTTCCCTTTCATTTCCCTTTCATTTCCCTTTCATTTCCCTTGTACTCATTCTACCTAGAATCCGTTTCTAGAATCTCAATGCGCCCCCTGGCATCCACCTTCCAGAGGGGCTTGTGCACCACGAGCACCTGCTCTCGGCTGGTGCCCTTCTCTGGTGGGTGCACCTCCACCGCCCACTGCGCTGCTCTCGCGGCTCGCTGCACCCCCTCCAGCGCCGCCGGCACGTCTCTCACAATCACAGTGCCCCCGGGCCTCAGCAGGCGATCCACCTCTATAATCACGTCTTCTATGTCACACCTGTCCCTGTGCGTGCGGGGAGGGGGTGACGGATGACATGTGGAAGCTTTAATCATGCAGGTCCAGTCACGCAGAATATTCAAAATGGAGCTCTCAGACACGGAAGATCACACGCATGCATGCAGGGGAGACACGAGGGTTGAGGCTTACAGGGCGACGGACGACGAGACGCCCTGCCAGTGCACAAGGTCGTAAGTGCGGGGGTACGACGCGAACCCCTCGCACCAGTCGTGCACCGTGCCCAGCAGCCCACGGTCGAATATGGCGGGCAGGGTGTTGTAGCGGCTGGTCACCGGCACCACGTTCATCACCCACACCACCTCCTCCCCGTCCTCCTCCCTCGCCCGCAGCGCCGCCGCAAACCCCCCCACGCCCGCATTCATATCCAGCACGTTGCGCACCCGCCCAGGCCTGCTCTCCTCCCTCCCCTTCCCGCCCCCCTCGCCCCTCTCCCCTTTCGCCTCCCCACCGTCCCCCTCCCCGCCATCCCCTCGCTTCTTCTTCTTGGTCTGCCGCCCCAGGACACGGTCCAGCACAAGCGCGTCGTAGTGCGCGAGGCGCAGCCCCCAGCGGCGCGCCTCCATGTTGAGGCGCTTCTGGTGGGGCGAGAGGGCGGCCAGCGCCATGGCGTGCTTCTTGCTGTACTGCCCCGTGGCGGAGTTCACCAGCGACTTGCGCTGCTCCGCCCTCAGCGCCTCTCGAATGCCCTCCTGCTGCTGATCTCGCACTGCCTCGCTCCCTTCTGCATCACGTGCTGCTGCCGCTGCTGCAGCTGCTGCAGGGTCTGCATCTGCCACGCTGCTTGCCGTGTCAGCTTCCGCCCTCTGCTCGCCCTTGTCTGTACCTGTGGCCTCTGTGCCTGCCCCATGGGCTCCCCTGCTATCGCCAGCGCTGCTGCTGGGAGTGTGAGCCGCACCCATCTCTTCACCAGAAGCGGCACCATCGCCATCGCCATCAGCATCACCATCACCATCAGCACTTTGCAACCGGCGCTTACCACCGTCAGCAGGAGCCTCATCCTCACTCCTCCCCCGCAATTGCTGCTCTGCCTTATCCTCGCCTTCTTTCCTCCCCCTCTCCTCCTCTGTGGTTTCCTCGGCCCCCACCGCTGCACCTCCCTTCTCACCATTCCCCTTTCCTTCCCTCCCCCTACCTTTCCTCCCCTTGCCATTCTCCGTCCTCCCCTTCCCCGTCCCCCCCCCCACCCCCACTTGCCCAGCTTCCCCCTCCAGCGCGTGGGACTGCGCACCAGGGGGGGAGCGCACTGGGAGGGAGCCGTAGATTCGGGGGGAGGCGAACCACAGGCGCTGCGGCCACGGGGGGAGGCTCCAGGCGGGAGGGGGAGGGCGGATGGCGCACGGCTGCATGGGGGAGTACCTGGGCGGCAGGGGAATGGGGCGCAAGGCATGGCGCACAAGGCATGGCGCACAAGGCATGGCGCACAAGGCATGGCGCACAAGGCATGGCGCACAAGGCATGGCACACAAGGCATGGCGCACAAGGCATGGCGTACAAGGCATGGCGCACAAGGCATGGCGCACAAGGCATGGCGCACAAGGCATGGCGCACAAGGCATGGCGTACAAGGCATGGCGCACAAAGGCATGGCGCACAAGGCATGGCGCACGCAAGGTAAGCTTTTGCGAATCCTGAGTGAGCGTGTGGGCGCTTGTGTGGACACAGGCGCACGCATCGCACTCACCAAGTGGCATCGGGATCATCATCCTCCGCGCACAGCAGTGCACCCGTCTCCTCTGCCCCTGGAGCCGCCTCCTCCTCCCGTATCTCCCCGTCCCCCCTCTCGCTCCCACTCGCTCCCTCCCCTCCCTCCTTCCCATCCTCCCCTCCCTCCTTCCCATCCTCCCCTCCCTCCTTCCCTTCCTCCCCTCCCTCCTTCCCTTCCTCCCCTCCTCCTCCCCCACCCCCAGCACAGCCTCCTCGCTCTCCCCTCCTCCCTCCTCCATGTCCCATGCTTCCTCCTGCCTCTCACTTTCTCCGCCCTCCTCTCTCTCCCCCCTTCCTTCTGCCTCCTCCGCCACTCCATCCCCCGCCACCACCCCTGGACACTGCCTTCTGTCACCTTCCCCCTCACCGCCCGCACTTCCTCCGCTCCCCCCCACCACCCCTTCCCCCCTGCTTTTCCGCCAGATGGCCACGTGCGGCACCAGCAGCACCAGCCGCCAGCACAGCGCGCGCGCCTTGGCGTGCAGCGCGCGCCATTCCTCCGCCCTGCCCGGCCAGTGCACGGGCGGGCCCGCCAGCACGAAGAAGCCCCCCGGGCGCAGCAGGCGGTCCACCTCGTACAGGTGCGTGCCGTCTGGTGGGGGGGAGAGGGCGGGGGGGGTTGGGGTGGGTGGGGATGGGGGGGGAAGGGGGGAAAGAGAGTGAGACAAGGTTACTGGAATGCGCATGTCTCCGCTTCAAGCTCCGCACGTACTGAGAAGCATGCGGAGGATGCGAGACGGATGGGCGACAGGGGGAACGGTAGAGGGGCAGCGATGCACGTACTGGGGAGGGCGAAGAGGACTTGGCAGTGCGAGCAGTGCACGAGGTCGAACGCCAGCGACGGGAACGGCAGGCGGAGCGTCGCGAGGATCCCCACCAGCGCAGGCAGCCCGCGCTCGAGCGCAAACTGCACCTGCCCGCGGTAGCCGTCGCGGGGGGCGAGCGACATGGTGAGCATGCCCTGGCGGAGCAGCTCCGCCGCGACGCCCCCCACGCCGGACCCGATGTCGAGCGCCGTGCGCAGGCGCGAGCCGAAGGGGATGAAGTGGCGCAGCTGCGCCACGTACCGCTCCGCGCCGTCGTCCCCGGGCATGGCCGTCATGCCGCCGGGGAAGCGCCACGCGGAGCCGCGCATCTCCATCCAGCGCACGTTCCGCGCGTCCTTGAGCATGGTGGAGTGCGGCACGTTGCTGCGCCACACCTTCCACAGGCTCTCCGGCCACGGGAGCGTGCGCTCGTAGCCGGGCGGAGGGGGGATTAGGCAGCGCGGCCGGTCGGAAGGGGGCGGACAGTGTCTCTCGCGGAAAACGTTGTCTGCGAAGGGGAACTGGGCGGCGATGTTTGGATCGTAGCACGGGATATGGTGCGTCCAGTTGGACGGACATGGCGGGAAGTGCCCGTCTTTAGTAAGCTCGCGTCCAATAGGTTTCGTTTCAAACGGTACGGCAGCTGAATTTCGATTGCTGATTGGGGAAATCAACAAATCGATGTGAGAGCGGAAGCGGCCGGAAACGAAGAAGGAAGGGACGAGGAAGCAGCTGAGGGCGGAGATGGCGACGAAGAACGACCAGCGGTTGCCGCGGAGCAACGAGATAAGAGGCGAGTCGGGGGACTTGATCGTTGGCATGGCGACAGCATGGAGAGCGAGCAAGAGACGCCGGAGAAGCATTTGAACTAACTTAATCAGCACGTTATGTTTCTGCAGAGCGAGAGCGTGAGCTTTACGATGTCACAGCGTATGGTGGCGTTTAGGCCTCAGTAGCGACTGACTGAAGCAAGCAGTCCTGAATCCTGATGGCAAACAGGGGCGACCAATGGGAGGATTTCTCCTCTCAGAATGGCCGAGCAATGTGGCGAGCTTCGAGCTCTGTGTGCGCCAGTGTTACCCAGTATCGCCTCTGCAGAATCGAGTTCCCCTCGGTCGACTCGGATTCGCCTTGGCTGCTCCAGTTTCGCTACAAGCCGCTCCAGCCGCCTCACAGCCCGTCATCTTCGCAGGCGCTTCGCACGTTTCTGTCAGGCCACGTCGCGAAGTACCAGCAGCTTCTGAACTAGTGCCGTGCCGTGCCCGATTTTTTGTCGGTCTCTCCTCATTCGCAGGTTTGCTGGTGAGCCGTGTACTCAGTAAAGATGCGCCGTTACAAGCAACAAATATTCCATATCGGAACAGTGAATGTTGTATGTATCGAAACTTGCGAGTATTTCCTCGATCCACCAGCTTCCCTCCCATCCCACCCTGTCTACTCGTGCTTCCCCAGGTTTCAATGGCACATGCTTGCCGTGCCTCCAGTGAATCTGCGTGCTTGTCAGACATTTCTGGTCCGTCACTTCAGCTGATTCGCCTTCCTGACCTCACCCACGTGCAGTTACTTTCACAGCCTTTTTCCATAGCTGAGTCCGTCGAATTGAGAACGTGGATCAAGCATGGTGAGACTTTGCTGCGGAAAAGCGAGTTGCTTTGATTGAAGTCTTTAGGTTGCTTACTTCCTGATGTGGGTGATCTAACTCCGCTCTTTCTGGCAGATTCACTTCGTCCTCCTCATTAGTCGGCAAGGGAAGGTTAGGCTGGCGAAATGGTATTCGGCGTATTCTCAAAAGGAACGGACGAAGGTATGCTTATTACGTCGTGAATCGTCGGCCTACTCGCTCATAGTCCTTGTGCACTGATCCGGGAAGCCCTCATTATTCGTCGAGTTAATTAGCAAGGTCGACCTTGCCGCGTGTTTCCATTCCTCAGATTACGCGAGAGCTGTCCGGAACAATCCTGAGCAGGCCTGCTAAGCTGTGCAACTTCGTGGATTGGAGGGGTTACAAGGTTGTTTACAAGCGGTGAGACTTTTTTCCTCCTAGGCTCAACCTCACTTTTCTAGCTGCTACAACATGACTGTGCTGCTCGGATGGTTCGCTGGAGTTTTCCCTGTATCCGCGTTATCAATCAGTGACCATGCTTGACCGGCGCTCGTTATGTGCATTGCAGGTATGCGAGCCTGTACTTCTGCATGTGCGTGGACATCAACGACAACGAGCTGGAGACCCTCGAGATCATCCACCACTACGTCGAGGTGCTCGACCGCTACTTCACCAACGTAAGGCGGCTTGCCCCTCCACATCTCACTCCATCCTTGTGCTCTCTGGTGCTGCCTTTTCGCGTACACTAGCCTCTCATGGCGATTCTCCTCTCCTCTCCACATGCGGCTTTCACTGCGCAGGTCTGTGAGCTCGATCTCATCTTCAACTTCCACAAGGTACGCCCCCATTGGACTGGTGGCGCTGTCATGATGTCATCCTCCTGCCACTTGCGGTTTAGGTCAGGCGTGTTACTGTTGGATTTCAACCTAAATTTCCTTGACAACTGTGTTTGCGCTATGTTCCAGGCATACTATATACTGGATGAAATCCTCATAGCAGGAGAGCTACAGGAGTCGAGCAAGAAGTCGGTTGCAAGAGTGATAGCTGCTCAGGTAGGTTCCACCAACTTCAATTGCTCTCCTTCACTTACGTTTCTGGGATGCGCAGCCTTTTCACGACCCAGTCATGGTCTGACCTGTTTTATTCACAGGATACTTTGGTGGAGACTGCGAAGGAACAGGGTGGCAGCTTGTCCTCCATCATTGCCCAAGCGACACAGTAGAGAGATTTCGAAGTGCACTATTTTCTCCAACTAATGGTTTTCGTCCCCTTTATGTACAGACCCTTCAATTGGCTAAGTAGGATTCTACTTCTGATTGTGTGCTTTACATCGAGTAATGAGGAGCACTCAAGAGCACTTCGAAACCCAAACCCATGATGTGCGCACAACCCCTTGCTGGCGTGTCATGTGGGTCACGGTGACGTGCATGGCCGAAACGCGTCACCTCGCCCTGCACCACCTCAACCCCAACATTCCACCTCGACGTCCGCATATTCGTGTTGGTGCTATCGTTGATACTTTATCCGCCGGACCCGTGCTGGCACTTCAGAATCTGTGCTGTATATCGTCCGTTCAGATCGCGTGATGCGGCGCAATTTCTAGTACTTAGTCGCCGTTTGCTTCTCGCGATCGCTTCTTGAGTGGGTCGCTCTACCGTCCGTGACACACCCATTCTGTCTGTGAATTAGCCGGAACTCTTGCATCTTGCCGCATCTGCTGCAGCCAGCACTTCCAAGTCCCACGATCTTGTGCCAATTCGAGCGTTCATGGGGAGGAGGAACGGTGGAGGAGGCAGGCATCGGGGAGGCAGTGGCGGAGGAAGCCGGGGAGGCATGGGCGGGCGGAATGGGGGCGCGGCGGGTCGAGGACGCGGCAGTGCTCCCAACGGCGCTGGAAACGACGTAGGAGGTAGACCGGACGAACGAGGTGGTGTGCACGAGACGGGGGATGGCGGGTCCTCGGGGCGAGGCTTCCAAGGCCGAGGGCGCGGCATGAGGGGCGGTCGTGGCCGCGGCCGCGCTGGCGTGCAGCGGCCGAATGAGAGTCAAAATCAGCAGCGGCAGCCAGGCGCTGGCACCGGCGGTGCGGGTTCCGCTGGAAGGGGCATCTACTCGGCAGTGAAATTCGTGTACGAGTATGAAGTGGTGCGCGGGGGCGGATACGACAACAGGGACCTCGAAGAGGCGAGGGGCTCAGAGCAGAGGGATGTTACAGCGAGGGGTGAGGCGCAGATTAGAGAAGGGGGCCAAGCGAGTCGTGATGCCGAGTGGCACGGAAAGAAGCATCGCGGTGCATGGGTGAGGCTGGCCTGCAGATCCGCGAGAGCTCAAGGTCGGGATGTTGGTGGCGGTGCTGGTGGCGGTCGAGGTGCGGGAGCAGGCGGCCGCAGCGGCCTCGGGTGCGGCGCTGAGCGGAGGGGCACAATGGCTGCTACCGCGGCTGGCGAGTCCGCAATGAGCGCGTTCAGGCCGGGCGGGGTGCTGCGAGGAAACGAGGAGGCTGGAGAGCATGAGAAGAAAGGAGAGGCGGGAGGGCACGGGGACGCGAGGGCGGGTGGAGGGGATGGGAAGGAGGGGGGGTTGCAGGGAGGGAGGGCGATGAGGTGATGAAGGCGGAGCAGGTGAATGAGGGAGGGGGGCGTGATGTAGGTGGTGGAGGAGACAGGAGCGATGCAGGCGTGGTAGGAAGCCTTGGTGATGCTCGTGAGGAGAAAATGGAGGGCGGCGAGAGGGGAGAGGGCGGGGCAACGTGTGAGGACCAGGCAGCTGCTCAAGCTGAGAATGAAGCGCAGCAGGCCGGCGGTGTGGCGATTCTGCCTGTTTTCTTTGACAGAGGGGGGTCCACTGCTGGGGGCGAGGCACTGGCTCAGCCATGCCCTGGCGAACGAGACGGTTCTGCTGCTGCTCCTTCCCTGAGTCCGCCTAAGCGTGCAGATGCGGCGTCCAGTGCATGTGAGCTCCTGCCTGTGGTCCAAGAGGGGGTCGGGCTGTTGCCTGTTCTGGATGACAGGCAAGGGCGCTTGCCCGTGCCTGCAGGAGCAGTACCAGCAGCAGGAGCGGCAGTATTAACGAGTCCTGCAGACGTGGCGGTGCGGTTTGAGCGGCTGCACATGGGCGTGGCGGCCATAGGGGCGGGCGAGTCAGGGAGCGAGGTGGAGGGAGGGAGAGAGGGTGAAGACAGGGAGCAGGGAGACGTGGGGGGGATTCAAACTGGAAGACGAGGCGTCGCAGATCGAGCAGGTGGAGGGCGGGGTGGAGGGAGGGGTGAAGGGAGCCAAAGGAATCAAGGCCGGCAGTGGGGTGGGGGAGGGTGGCAGCGAGGCAGGGGAGGGGGGCGCGGGGGTAGAGGACGAGGCAGGGGCGGTGGGGGGAGGGGGGCGGGGGGAGACGAGCAGGGGATGGAGGCTGGACGCGGGCAGTGGGCGTGGGGACGGAGGCAGGGGGGGGGCTTCTAGGGGGAGTCGAGGACGTTGGGTATGTGACTGTTGGCGGAGTGACTGTAACAACAGGTGGTGGTGCGGGAGGGCGTGGGGCGTATGAAGGGAATGGGTATGGGGGTCGGGGGAGGCAGGGGCGCGGACGGGGTGCGGGGGGGAGAAGGGGCGGGGGGAGGGGTGAAGGTAGGGGTGGGGGAAGGAGTGATGGGCGTTATGAAGTGAGGGGGAAGGGTAGAGAGGGGGAGAGTGAGGAGGAAGATGGGAGTGAGGGAGAGAGTGAAGAGGGGAGCGATAGTAGCATTGATGCTGACGTGGCACTTGACTTTTTGAATAATCTGGTCGATGACAGTGACGACGAGAGGATGGACGGGGGGGGCGAGGAGGAGGGGGAGAAGGTGGCGGAGGAGGAGGGGGAGAAGGTGGCGGAGGAGGAGGGGGAGAAGGTGGCGGAGGAGGAGGGGGAGAAGGTGGCGGAGGGGGAGGGGGAGAAGGTGGCGGAGGGGGAGGGGGAGGCAGTAGGGAATGTTGAGGGGGAGGAAGAAGATGAGGGCGACGAGGGGGTACGTGAGGAGGAGGAGGAGGAGCCATATGCGGAGGAGGAGGATGAGGAAGGCGAGGCAGAGGGAGCAGAGGAGGAGGAGGGTGCGTGCTATGACGAGGAGAGGCACGTTGGGCTGGGCTATGGCTCTGCAGGGTCCGCCCCGTCTGCAGCAGAGTTCTGGAACCAGCTGAAGCGCATGCGGGGGGGGCAGGAAGGGGGGAAGAGGGAGGGAGGAGGAGGAGAGAGGGCGGGAGGGGTGGTAGGGCAGGGTGAAATGAGGAGGGGTGGACAAGTAAGAGCGGTTGATGTGGGCTTGGATAGGGGGGAAGGGGAAGGTGAGGCAGGGGAGGGGGATGAGGACAAGGAGGAGAGTGAGGACGCAGAGGAGGAGGAGGAAGAGGAGGAGGAGGAAGAGGAGGAGGAGGAGGAGGAGGAGGAGGAGGAGGAGGAGGAAGAGGAGGAGGAGGAGGAGGACGCAGAGGAGGAGGAGGAGTGGGAGAGTGGGGAGGAGATGGAGGCGTTGGACGGGGAGTGGGAGAGGGAGCTTGAGGCAGCGTATCAGAAAGAGCTGGCTCGCCGGCAGAGAGGGAAGGCGCCTTTGCAGGCAGCCACGGGCGCTGCTGCTACAGCTGCTACAGCTGCTACAGCTGCTGTCCCGGCGTCACTGCCTTCTGGTGGGCGCCACACGGGCGGCTTGGGGCGAGGACGAGGGGGGTCAGGGAGAGGGGCGGGGGCAGGAAGGGGGGCGCGGCCAGAAAGAGGGGGGGGCGGGCAAGCAGGAGCAGGAATGGGCGGAGCGGGGAGAGGAGAAGTACGAGGGGAGGATGGTGTGGCGAGCGGTAGCAGCGGAGGAGTGGGGCGCGGGTCGAAGAAGGCTGCCAGGAAGATGAAACGAGCCCTGGCGAAACAGGCAAAGAAGGCAGCTAAAGGTGAGGGCATGCTGGGTGTTACTGGGGGGGGCGGAATTGAGAAAACCAAGTAGCGTTGAGAAACCAAAAGCCCTCTTGCCTTTCCTTGAAGCCTGCTCTGCCTGTCTTCCCCCCTTCCGCCGGTCCACCAGCGTCCACCAAGAAGGGGCGCAGGAAGCAGGCCATAGAGTTGAAGCGAATGCAGCGAGCCACGGGATTCGAACCCGATGCTGCTGACGTGGACCTCCAGCAAATCAACCAGGTGAGGTGCTGCAGCACGTGCTGACATGGACCTGGCGACCGGTAAAAGCCCGGATGGAACCCCTTGGCCTAGCACAGACGGATGCTGTCTTGCGTTGCATGCTGTCATGCCCTGTCTCTTGTCATCCAATTCCCAACACCCCTCCTGCGCTGCCCGAACCTGCCCTCGCCCATGCCAGGGCATGCAACAGGTGGCGCTAGGCCGCGTTGACCTCTTCGCCTCTCCACCACTGAAACAGCACCAGTTCTCCATGGTGCGTTCACCATCGGCGTTGCCACCATGGGTTTTGCCACCGTGGCTGCTTGAGCTGACACCAAGGGTCACGTGTTCATGTGCATGTGTGCTTGCCACCATAGTACGGATGCCTTCTTCCTCTTATTTCCATGCATCCCTGCCTGCTACCGTTTGTCCATCTCGCTCATCGCCATTCACCGTGCCTCACCTTGCACTCCAGGTGCAAGCCATGGGGCGCTCATACCGACTTCTATCCATGGCGCAGCACAGCGGCAAGCGCAAGTATGTGCTCTATCCCTTTCCTGCTGCTGTCTTTTCCCTCGTTCGCTTTACCTTGCGTGCTTGTGTCTCATGCCTCTTTTCTTCCTCCACCGCGCCTCCCGCCCCTATCCCCCTCTATCCTTTGCCACCATGCTCTCCATCTATCTTGCTGCATATGCCCCTGTCTCCGTCGCCTCTGCGCCGGCCGTCAGGATGCTTCTGTTCCAGGCGGGGCGGCACACGGCGCTGCCACAGGGCGATGACATGGCTCGCCTGGAGGAGGTACGCTCTTCCATGAGGGAGGGAGGCCGTCTGCCTCGCGCTGCCATGTTCCGTTGTCCCTGTGCATTCTTCTTCTTTCTGTTCCCCCTTCAAGCAAACTGCCTCCTCTGCTCCTCTTCTTACTGCTGTCTCCCAGATTCTTGGTCGGTTCAACCTTGCAAGAGCTGCTGCTTCTGCTGCTGCTTCTGGGTGTACTGCACATGGGCAGGGAGCATCAAAGAAGGGCAGGGGCAGCAAGGACTACAGGGCGAGGCGCCTGGGTGAGTACATGGAGGCGGTGGATGTGGAGCGGGGCATTGCGCAGATGGAAGACATCATGATGGCAGCGGATGATAACGACAATGAGAGTGGTGCGGAGGGCAGCGAAGAGAGCGAGGGAAGTGAGGGAACTGATGGAACTGAGGCGAGTGAGGAGAGTGGGGAGAGTGAGGGGAGCGATGAGGATGAAGAAGGGGAGGATGTGTTTCTGGAGTTAGAGGAGGAGGAGTGGCTGGTGTCTGGAGAGGTGGACCGCGTGTCGCGCAAGCAGCGGCGGGCACAGGCGCAGGCGCGGCTCATGCAGGGGCTGGGCGAGCGCATGCAGCAAGACAAGGTGGAGAGGCGGAAGGAGCGCAGGGGGCAGGCGCTGAGGGAGAAGCTGCTTAGAGGAGAGGAGGAGACGCTGTGGAGGAGGAAGGGGGGAGGGTTGGTGCAACGGGGGGGGGGCAAGGGGAGGCAGGGGGAGAGAAGGGAGGGACGGGTGGGTCATGGCCCAGGGAGGCATGGGTTTGCATCCAACCCTGTGGTGTTTGTGTCGCGCGGCGTTATGGCCACGGATGTGCTTGTAACGGAGGAGGGTGATCAGGTGGTGAATTTGGTGAATGTGACTGTACAGAAAGTAGAGCAGCTGGGCTCAGAAGTAGAGGAGGCTTTGGGCGTCACGGTGAATGAAGAAAGTTCAGAAATTGGCGCAGCTGCATCCGCTGGTGCCAACCCCACAGGAGGCGCAGCCGGTGTCAGTGTAAGTAGTGCTCCTGCTGTCGTCAGTGTAGCTGGTGCTGGTGGCATGCATGATGAGGGAGAGGGAGCTGTGGGGGTCGCTGGTCACAATAGAACGGTGGTGCACAGCACAGGTGGAGAAAGGAGTGACAGGCAAAGAGTTGGAGCGGCAAGAAGAGGACATGGAGGGATTGGTGGAAGGGATAGCGGAGGGAGAGGGGGAAGTGGAGGAAGGAAAGAAGGTAGGATGGAGAGGAGCAGTGTGGGCAGCGGCGGTGTGGCAGCAGACTTTGCAAGTTTTGAGGCGCATACTCGTGGGTTTGGGTCTCGCATGATGGCGCAAATGGGCTTCCGTGTTGGCTCTGGCCTTGGAAAGGACAAGCAGGGCATTTCTGAGCCTGTGGTAGCTGAGCAACGGCCAAAGGGTCTTGGCCTTGGAGCACGCATTTAACAGCTGCGCATTGCATGGTGATTTGTGGGTATGTTGCAAGCCCTTTTTGTGGTCTAGCTCTTGTTGTCAATGTTTCCATAACGCTGCTGAGCGGCATGGCAGTAATCTATCCCGAAAGGAAGATGCTTATACGGGCGTGTCGCGAAGACCAGGATTGATTTCGGATGCTTCTTTGGTGTTTCCTGGTTTGCCTGTTCGCGAGTTGCGAGCAGGGCTCACGCTAAGCTTTTTTGTAGCTCTGTTTCTCCCGGATTCCCCACCCCCCTGCACCCTGATTCGTCCGATTTTAGGGTAGTTGATTTCTGTTTCATCCGGATTCGGGTACAAAGTTACTTTTAGCCGAGTTACAGCAAACATTGACTCGGACATATCACGATGTTCAAGGTCGAAACAGGGTAACCTTTGCGGCGTGCTAAAAAAATAAGTACTTTTGGATTTGCTACGTTAATTTCTTCCACCAGTTTTCTGACAAACCCGCTAAAGAAGGGTAGAATCTGTGTCCGCAACCTAAACAACTTTCTGGGTTGCGGGAAGGGGAAAGAGGGGAACGTGGCTAAACGTTTTTAGCCAAGTCTTCCCAGCTGCGAAGGCGTGCGGAGCTGTAGGAGGAATTTGCCATCTAAGAGGGACGCCAATGTTCTAGGTTTAGGGTGGCCCGGGTGGGAGGAGTCTCTCTGTGTTAAACTCTCTAGGTGTAAGGGAGACTTAGCCAAATTCTCTATGTTATCGGGTACAGGCAGGAATGTTCCTGCAATGAGGACTAGCCGAAATTTATAAGTTTCGTGGGTGTGGGTGGGAGGCCTATCTCTATTTGGGAGGGACTTAGCCGAATTCCTCTATGGTCCAGGAAGGAATGCTCCTGGCTGTGACAAACCTAGCCGACAATTCTGGGTTTCGGGTGGTGCGGGTGAGAGGAGTTAGGTATGTCTGTGTGTGGTGGACTTCGCCATTTTTGCTTGGTTGCGGGGTTAAGGATGGAATGCTGCTGGAAGTTGGGGACTTAGCCGATTTTTCTGAGTTGTGCGGGTGTGGGAGGAGTTAGGTATGTCTGTGTGTGAGGGACTTCGCCGAATTTCCTGGGTTCGGGGGCTCCGTGCGATTGTTCCTGAAAGTTGGGGACTTCGCCGGTAAAATGTCTCTGCCACCCTGGGTGCGAGGAGGGGGAAAGGGGAGGAGGGGGGGAGGGGGGGGGGGTATATTTATTGGCAGTTGCAGCCGGATTGCCCCCCCAGCGAATTCTGATCTGCCCGGAGACCCCCGTAACGCCACTTCTATAAATTCCGGAAACCCCGATAACTCGACCCGTTCAAATTCCGGAACGAGCCCAGTGCCAACTCTTAATGTTTTTTCATTTCGGGTAATTATTCTTGAAATCTAGGCCCTTGTTGCGAGGCCTAGCCCCTCATTTGCCGCTTCCTATTGGTCGACAGATGTATTCACGCGCCCCGCTGGTCAAAACTTCAGTCACAAGCGCCTCCGCGCCTTGTTTCTCAGTCCATGGGACAAACAAAGTGATCGCTTCCATGCGCCAGCCACGCATCCCCTCCTCCCCACCCAGCATGCGACACAAACAAGGCAGGAAGCCAGCTCCCCGAGCCCAACTTCGGGACAATTTCAAGGTGGCAGCTGGTCCATGGGGTGGGGAGGAAAAGAAAGGGAGGGGGGGGTGGGGGGAGGAGTGCGCCTGCTGCGCCCTTCTTTCTTCCGCCAGTCATCATTTCACCCTGCGTTTGGCTCATCCGTGTGGGTAGCTTTGCCCTCCGGAACTCCCAAGGCCAGCCGCGCCAGTCCCCAGCGATCTCCCCCTCTCCCCCTCTGCCCCGCTCGGCTCCACAACCTCGTCGTGCCCCGTGCTTTGCTGCGCCAGACCTCACTGGCATCCTGTGTCCGCTTCCACCGAGGAGCAGCTCACCACTGCTCGTCTTCTGCAGCTGCTGCTGGCTAGTGTTTGCACGTCAGTCGTCAGACACGCCTCGCGTTGCGACGAAAGACTTTTTCGCATAAGGTGCTTTGCCAGCACATTTTGCGGATGGTCAGTCATTTGAGCAAGCAGATTTAGCGGATTCATGCCCAAATGTCGCTCGTTTAGCGGATCAATGGAAGGCCATCCCGCTTCTTGCTGTGTCGACGGCTCGTCGTGTAAGGTTTATTGTTCGCATCCTAGCTCTTCGGTACAAATGATCCTCAACTAGATTCGAATCCTTGCCGTGAATCTCGTCAGCAGGAGCAGGGATTGCGAGGCGAAGGCCGTGAATGCAGAGGCGTAACGCTGATGCCTACCCTTCTGGCCTGGTTGTAGGGCCATTCCTATGTCCTCGCATCATCAATGCCGTTCATCCAACGTTACCCGTCGCCATGGTCGCCGACATTCCGGCAGTCTCGGGTCCGCGTGGAAACTGCTGTTCGCGTTCATCTTTCCCTGCTGGTCGTCGTCGTAGCGCTCATCCTCGCCACTCTCCCATCGGGTAAGCCCCTCGACCCTCGCGACCAGCACAGCTGAAGATAATCCGATAGTCAGCTGGACGCTTCTCTCTATCCGATTGCGAGGCTGCTTTGCCTCGTCTACATCTCCTGGTGCGTTTCTCGTGGCTCGCCACGCTTCCTCCTCCCCCTCACCGTCATTGCATCCTTCACCCGGTACCTGGCCTCTTTTGCGGCCCCCTTCTCACCCTCCCCTTGGCTCTCCAGCCGCTATTCGTCTCCCCGCGACTCATCTGTCAGCAAGGCGGGGCGTGCATCCCAGCAGAGGGATGAACGTTAACGCAGCCAGCGACGAAGACGACGACAATCACTCGGCCAGTGACGACGACAGCAACGTCGCGGAGCAGCAGATAGAGCACGTTCTTCCGGAATCCGTCAGCGGCGCGAGCGACGAGTCGCACGAGGACTACACAGAGCATGTCGAGGAGCTGGAGCACATAGAGAACGCCACGCTGGCGAACTACACCAGCATCGACGCCGGCCACGGGGACGACGAGTCAGAGGACGGACACGGGGACGACGGGTCGGAGGACGGACACGGGGACGACGGGTCGGAGGACGGGGAAGGCGGAAAGCCTTCGCCTCCGCCTCCGGTGGTGTGCGCGGGGGCGTGTCCGCACCGGGAGTGGGAGGCGCTGAGTCCGAGCGCGAGCGAGGGGAAGTGCGATTGCGTGCACCCCGCGGAGCTGGCCGTGCGGCTGTCCAACGCCACCGCCGTGGAAATGCACTTCGCGTCCTTCGTCCACGTACGTTGCAAGGCGTGTGCCGTGTCCAGCTATCCTCCCCCCCATCTTTCCATACCTCGCCTCCCCACGTGCCCGCCCCCCCAAGCTGACAGAGGCCTTGGCTGAGCAGCTGCACGTGCCAGCATTGCCTGTTCTCCGCAACCCCCTCAGGCATCCATCCCTAGATGCTCCCCCCATCCTCCTCCCCCGCGCCTCAGGACCTGTCGGAGCAGCTGCACCTGCCCAAGTCGTCCATCCTCCGCAACTCGTTCAGGCGCCGACCTTTGAGTCAACTCAAAAGTCATCTCGTTACAATCTCACCCATCCATCCCTTGATGCTCCCCCCACCCTCCTCCCCCATGCCCCAGGACCTGTCGGAGCAGCTGCATCTGCCGGAATCCTCCATCCTGCGCAACTCGCTCACGCGCGCCGACCACACGGCAGCCATCGTCACGCTGCTCCTGCTGCCGCGCTTCCAGCCTGTCTTCCCCCGCGCCTTCCTTTCCCAGGTGGACTCGCGCCTCAGGCACCACCACGTGCACCTCGACCCGCGCCTGTACGGCCAGTACTCCCTCGTGAGCGTCAAGCAGCTGCTGCCACCCCCGTCACCTTCCCCTCTCCCAGGCCCATCCCCTCCACCCGCTCCTTCTCCACCAGCCCCTGGCAACAGCAACAGCAGCAGTAGCAGCAACAGCAGTGATAGTGCTGCCAACTCCAATGGCGGTAGCAGCAGCAACAACAGTACCACTGGCACTGGAAGTGGTAGTGGTAACACCACTGGCACCAACAGCAGCAGCAGCAGCAGCAACAGCAGCAGCAGCAACAGCAGCAGCAGCAGTAGCAACAGCAGCAGCAGCAGTCCTAGCAGCAGTCCTGAGAGCAGCCCTCGCCCAGAGGGTGTAGCCAATTACATTGGCTCCAGTAGCAGCAGCCTTGGTTCGGGCACAGGGGTGGGGGGGAAGGGAGCGGAGGCAGAGGGGAGTGACGTGGGGGAGGGGAGGGGCGGGCAGCAGGGGATGAGTGTCAACATGCTGCTGCTCGCCGTGGGGGGCGCGGTGGTGCTGACAGCAGTGGCGGTGGGGGCCATGGTCTACTGCGCATGCGTTCCGCGACGCACCATGGATGACGTCATGCCATGTGCGTGCAATGTGCAGGCCATGCGTGCTTGTACTTGTTATCCCATGTTTTTGCTTGCTTTGAAACCTATGTGCTGCCATGCCGGACGCACAACAGACACTCTCTCTCCCTACCCCCTCCTCTTGCCCACAATGGCAGCTGCGACAGAGGTCCTGATCAAGGCCGAGGGCTCTGCCAGCGGCCTCCAACAGCAACCACACTTCCCTCACGGGGACGGGGATGGGGATGGCCCATCCCCGTGCTGTCTTGGAGGAAGCGCGGCTGGTTTGATAGCAGGGGGTGGGGCAGGTGGAGCAGGTGGGGCAGGTGGGGCGTACAGGAGGATGGATGAGAGCAAGGAGTGGGGAGCAGGCAGGGAGAGGGACAGAAGTGACGAGCTCAGTGGAGTGGGCCCACTGGGGTGTTACAATACCGGTGCTGCTGCTGCTGGATCCGCTGCTGCTCTTGCTGCTGCGGTGTCGGTGGCTGCATGGCCAGCAGCGGGGTTGGACCACAGGGCAGGCAGTAAGGGCCACAGCGATGGAAAGTCTGGGGCAGCAAGTAGGGGTGGAGGATTCGCTGGGCTCTCCGGTGTGAGGGAGTTCTCACTGCATCAAATGGCGCTTGCAACCAACGAGTACGAACCTCTGGTCTTCACCTCTCTGTTTCAAGAGCACCTACTGTACCTCTCCTGTGCTTTTTGTCTCCCTCCCTCTCTCGCATCCCTCGTCCTGTTCCAGAGGAGTTCTTCCCCTCTTTTCCACCTGTCCTCCTAACCCTACCCCTCTCTCTCTCTCCCTCCCTTCTCTCGTCTCCCTTCTCCCTTCTCTCTTCTCCCTTCCCCCTTCTCTCTCCCCCCGTCCAGTTTCCACGAGTCGTCTCTGCTGGGCGAGGGCGGCTTCGGTCGAGTGTACCGAGGCACCATCTCCCTGCCTGCACACTCCCCCTCCTCCTCCCCCCCTGCTGCTCCTATCGAGGTAGCAATAAAGAGGATGGACCGGGGTGGCCGCCAGGGCAACAGGGAGTTCCTGGTGGAGGTGGAGCTCTTGTCCCGCCTGCACCACCGGCACTTAGTTAAGCTCCTGGGGTACTGTGCGGAGCGGGGCGAGCAGATGCTGTGCTATGAGCTCTTGGGCAACGGCAGCCTGCACTCCTGGCTGCACGGGCCGCACTCCCTCGACTCCTTCCTCGATTGGCCCGCGCGCCTCTCAATTGCAGTGGGGGCGGCGCGAGGCCTGGCATATCTACATGATGGATCTCAGCCGTCGGTGATTCACCGCGATCTGAAGCCGTCGAACATCCTGCTGGACGGCAGCATGAGCCCCAAGCTGGCGGACTTTGGGCTGGCCAAGGCAGCACCGGAGGGAGCAGATGAGCACGTGTCCACCCGAGTCATGGGCACCTTTGGGTGAGTCGAGCTACCCAGAAATGGCTCAGCCATGGCCGTCATGCCAACGCCAATACTTCCCATACCCCTCCGCCTTGTCACCGTTCTCCCTTTCCTGTAACCCCCCCACCCTCCACGCCCTACTCCTTACCTGTAACCGCCCCCTTCCCCCCCCCCCAGGTACGTGGCGCCGGAGTACGCGATGACGGGGCACCTGATGGTGGCGAGCGACGTGTACAGCTTCGGGGTGGTGCTTCTGCAGCTGCTGTCGGGCCGCCGGGCCGTCGACAGCACCAGGGCCCCGGGGCAGGAGAGCCTCGTCGTGTGGGTGAGTGGGCTGGGGTGCCTGCTGAGTGCATGGGGGTCTGCATGCTGCGCTTCTGTCCACACAGGGTGTCTCTATCTTGCTTCCTGCGTCCTTTTGCACACGACCAGACTGGTCTTTCTCACCCTTTTTCTCCTCCCGCCCTCCCTCTCTCCATGCATTCCTGTCCCCCAATCCCTTCCCCCTCCCCCCCCATTTGCCAGGCGCGTCCTCTGCTCGCCAAGCCATCCCGCCACCGCCACCTGCTGGACCCGCGTCTGCTCGCCTGCCCCTCGCCCCCCCCACCCTCCGCCCTGCACGCGGTGGCAGCGGTGGCCCACGCCTGCGTCAAGAGCGACCCCGCCGACCGCCCACCCATGGGCACTGTGGTGGAGCTGCTGCGACGGGCGCAACAGACGAGCGACGCCGACCAGCAGCAGCATCCATTTGGATCCCTGACCTCTTTCGATGCGCAGTGCATGCCCCCACCCCATGAGCAGCAGCAGGGCCGGCCGTTGATGCATCATGACTTAAAGCCCGGTTCCTCCCTAACTTCCCTCGGTCCTCAGTGTGATCCCAACGCACCCGCCCTGCCTGCAGTGACGACCACCCCTCCTGGCAGCACCAGCACCCCGCCCTGCTCCTTCCCAGGGTCGTCTCTCATGGATAGTTCACACGGCACTCGCAGCCGCAGCAGCAGAAACAGCAGAAGCGATCAGTCTGGTGCCAACAGTAGGAGCAGCAACAGCAACCCCTCTGCAGACAGGAGTAGGAGCAGCAGAAACAACAGAGACAGCAGAATTGGTGGATGCCCCCTCCCCCCTGTGGGCTCTCAGTTTCCTCCCCAAGCTCGTTGTGACTTGGGGAGAAGAAAGCAGAGGGATGCGGATTCAGGTCTCGGTAGAACAGAGATATCTGATCCAGACTTGGAGGACACTGCCACGTCAGCACCACCACCCCCTTCAAGGCGAGCTAGTAATGAATTCCAAGCTGAAGCACAGTTTGCAGGCAACGCTACAATGGCTGCTGCTGGCCCTGCAATCGACACAGCTGCAGCTGCCTCTGGTGTGGCGCTGGTAGCTCAACAGGAAAGTCCAGCCAGTGTGATCGGGTCAGGGCCACACTTCTCCCCGTTCTCCCACGAGCAACCAACTGCTGGGGGGTGCTCTCATCCATCTTATTGCGCAAGGCCTCCTGTTCACAACGCTTGTACTCAATCTGGAGGCATGGTGGTGGTGGAAACGTTAAGACTGGGTGAGGTGGGGCACCCATCCTCAAAGCTGCAGACAGCCGGTGCTGTACAGCCTGGTCCTTCAATAGCGTCAATGCAGGAGATTGAAGGCCAAGGAGAAGTCTCCTGGCAGATGCTTCCTCCCCCAGTTGTGAATAGCACTCCCGTGTTTAGACTATCTGATTGTTGTGAAGGGAAGATGGACAGCTTTGAGGTTAGAGAAAAAAGAAGTGAGGAAGAATCCATAGATGTAGCGTATTCTACAGGAAGTCCTGTTAGGTTGTAGCTTGGTGTAAGTTATGTATTCTCTTAGGCTAGCAGGGCATGGAGATGATGTGAGGAAAAGAGCATGTAGTAATAGAATTTGGAGAAATTGCACTGTATGGGCAATGCATGGTAATAGCTCGGCTAAATGCAGGATTTTCGCTCGACGAGTGAGCGATGTTCGCTGCGTGATTCGCTCAGTCGCTCCAGGTGGCTCACCACCACCTCATCTCGTACCCCTTGGCTTCCTCACTCTGGCTGGTGAGGTGGGGTACGAGATGAGGTGGTGGTGTAGCAGGGAAAGCAAGCACGAGGGGTATATCTTCTGGCCTGTGCCAACTTCAGTTGTTATAGTTTTGTCTTAGGCATTTGCAATCTCGGCCTGTCCAGCCACTGCATTCCCGGGGAATGGCGGGACGCTGCTGGTCCTAGTTTATTCGTACTTGTCCAGTTGAAATTACCATCACCACTTGCTGTGCGTTCGTTGTTTGTGTTCAGGATAAGGGTCTCCTAATGTCGGCTTTGTTGCGAAGGCCTCGCGTGATGACATGTACGTGATCGACCCCTGAACTCGGCCTCCTCAGAAGTAGATCCTGCCTGGAGGAATGCTTGAAGCAGATCCGCTTGATGAGGCGTTGCTTTCGGGCCTTTCAATGCCCTGAAAGTGTCATTTGTTGAGCGGAGATCGAAGAGATCCGTGCTTTAAACCAATTAGTGCACCCTCCCCATGTGCTCTTGTTGACCTGTCGTCCGGGACATCGCTCGCTGGTAGCTCTCTCGGTTGCTCTCTATCAACCCCCCTTTGGACCAGCTAATAGTGGCCGCGCCTGTTGCGCATCCATCTCTGTGCCTGCATTGCTCACTCACTTACATTCCCGTCGTGCTTGCTTTCCCTGCAGTTAATATTCTCGTCCGTCCGTCCTGACGAAGCAAGAAGCAAACTGTCTGTGACCGTCGTTCGTTCCAGCTGGAGCCGCTAGACTGCAGCCTTCGGAGCGGACTGTGTGCGGCGCATTACAAAATCATTGTTGCACCCTTTAGTCCGACGATTATATATTATTAACCCTTATTTATCAGATCACTTGATACATGTAATTAAAGCCTTTGACCAACATAGCAACACCTGTTCATGTTGTACCCAGCTTGACCAAGAAATGGCTTGATTTGAAGAATCGGGTTTTTCTTTTTGGTCTGCTGGCTATGTTTGAAATAGTTTTGGAAACAGGTAGTGCAAGGTTGCCATTACGGAGCGGAACTGCTGTTCACCCGAGTGTTTCGACGATCTTGCTCGTCGTACAGTCGCGAGGTGTCGCACTGTTACTGAACCCCCCTGTGACACTGGAGAAGCAAACCTGGTCCGAACTTGAAAATCGACTTGGATTCCAGGGAAAAAATCGCACATGCGATCCCTTCTGACACCGGAGTCACTCAAGTCGCGAACGCGCAAGATGAGTCGCACAGTACATTTCGCTTAGCTAATTGTTGCGTCAGCCAATCAAAATCGAGCAACACATTTCACACTGCTTTCCATCTGAAATTCACAACAGTAATTTTAGTCAGTCATCCTACACTGAGACGGTTTCTAAAAGGCCAATGTCCAAGTTGGGCCCATCTTTGCTATTATAGCCTGGGGCTTTAATGGAGCACATCACTTCTGCAACAGCTCTTGGTGTGAACTACTCGGCGAGAGTGGGTGGGATCCAGCAGTACCCCTGCGTCCGGCGGTATCCCACCCGCTCTGCCAGCTCATCTGCGTGGTCGGGGCCTCTACTGCCCTGACTGTAGGGGTGCGGGGGCAGGGCGCCCTGGTCTATGCGGTGCAGCAGAGGGGTGAAGATCTCCCATGCGGCCTGGGGAGGGACAACAGAAATGAGGTGGCAAGTGGACAAGGGAAAGAGGGTCAAGGTCTTTCGATGTGTTGATTGAGGGTCAAGCAACTGCTGCATGCTGTAGTCCCAGTGCTCCCTAGCTTCACTCACCTTGAGCTCGTCGCGGCGCACGAAGTGCTGTTGATCGCCATTGATGCTGCAGATAGACAACCAGATGTAGGCGGGCGATGTAGGGAGGGAGTGAAGTGGATGAGGTCAGGTGGGAAATGGGGAGCCACACACGCAGGTGACTTTTGAGTCAACTCATAAGGAGCCACACACGCTGAGCAAAGCCCAACCAATGAAGAGCACGTACCGGCACGGCAACACGCAGCGCACATGAATGCACGCAGCAGCAACTCCTTTTTCTCACCTGTCGAGGATGAGGCGCTCGTAGGCCTCGGGGATGATGACCCCGGAGTAGCGCTGGCGGTAGCTCAGATCCAGCTCACTCATCGTGGCCGCCATCTCGAGCCCGGGCTTCTTCACCTGCCGCCATGCAACGCACACGCCGTGAGATCCATTTGCCCTGTGAAATGGCATGCCACAGCACACGTGCCCCCCTCGCCGTGAGCTTCATGCCATTGCATATTATTCGCTTCTCACCGTCAGCTTCATGTACATGGCTTCAGATGGCTGCAGGCGCATCACAAACTCATCGCGGGAATTCCGACCGCCTGCAGGGAGAAGGGTGGACAGGCGTGTGGAGAGGAAGAGGGTGCACTCTAAGTCCAGCAGAAAGAAGGATGAGCGAGCAGGGGAGGAGGGATGCTGCAACCTAGAAAATGCCTTTCCTACTCTTTGCCCGACTCACAGCCGAAGATGTCGCCCGGCACGTCGTGGAACTGCACTCGGATCTCCGCCTTCCGTGACTCCAGCGCCTTGCCCGCCTTCATGATGAACGGCACGCCTGCCGCGGGGCGTGCATGGGGGGCAATGAATAGTGCCGCCATGAGACATGGAATCCTCAAGTGGCAAAGGCGGCCTGCGAGTGGGGTGACAGCACAGCTCACCATCCCAGCGCTCGTTCTTGATGCGCAGCACAATGGACGCAAAGGTGGGCGTGTGCGAGCCGTCGGGCACCGTGGGATCATCTGTGTAGCCGTCGTACTGCCCCAGCACGACCTCGTCCTCCCGGATGGGCTGGATGGCGCGCAGCACCTTCACCTTCTCGTCGCGAATGTCCTCGGGCAGCGTTGACACCGGCTTCTCCATCGCCACCAGACACAGCACCTGCGCCATGGGGGAGCGGCACGGGGTTTGCTTCGTCAACCAGGGTGGCGATTGGGAACCAGAGGGTGCGAGCAAAGTGGTTGCGAGTGAGAGCAGGAGAGGAGGCGCACCTGCATGAGATGGTTCTGAATGATGTCCCGAATGATGCTGCCGGGGGGGAGACGGGGGGAGGGCGTGTGGACGGATGAACATGAGGAAGGAAGACACTGCGAGATCGGAATGGCAGGAAGCAGAAAGAGTGGTCAAGTGAGGGGCGGAGAGAGAAGAGGCGGCCCTGCATACCCATACTGGTCGAAGTAGCCTCCCCTGCCCTGCGTGCCAAAGTCCTCCCGGAACACAATCTGCCCGCGCACAGGGGGGAGAGAGAGGGGGATGCGGGCGACAGTGGAAAATGCTGGGAGCTGAGGAGTGACAGCAGGAAGGGAAGGGAAGGAGGCGAGGAATGTGGAGAGCGGGCGGAAAGCAGGCGAGGCAATGGAGTCTATGAGTCAAGCTCGCGAGCGCAATGCCCATCGCACGGCACCGCCCACATACATCGGCATGCCCATGACACTGTACTGCCCGCACCTGCACGTTGGCGATGTTCTCTCGGTTCCAGAGCGGCACGAAGAAGCGGTTTGCGAAGCGCATCACCAACTGGCGGGGGGTGTGGGGGAAGGGGGGGAGAGGGGGAAGGCAGAGGGGCACAGCACAAAGTTCAGGCAAGCTGCGCAACCAACTGGGTTGGTTGAGAGGAGGGAATGTCCTCTTTGGGAGTGATAGCAATCTCATGCAGGTACTGACCAAGGTGCACTTCATCCCACGCCACCGACAAACCATCTCCCCATCATACCCCCTCACACGCACCAGGTTCTGCACCACCTCCTTGCCCAGGTAGTGGTCAATGCGGTAGATCTCGTCCTCTGTGAACAGCGCCCCCAGCTCGCTGCTCAGCGCCTCCGCGCTCTCCAGGTCCCTTCCGAACGGCTTCTCCACAATGACTCGTGTCCACCCGCGTGCGTTCATGCAGTAGCGCCGCACCTCTGCGCACACCGGCGGGTACACGGAAGGCGGCAGCGCCAGGTAGAAGAGGCGGCGCGTGGGGCCCTCGCTGCCCGCCGTGGTGCGCTCGAAGGCGAGCAGCGCCTCCTGCAGCTTAGCGTAGCCGTCGCGCCCGTCGTAGGGGCCCTGGATATACGACACCTGGAGAAAGGGGGGGGGGGGGAGGGAGGGGGGAAGGAAGGCAGGGTGAAGGGGCGAGGGTGAGGCAGATGAGGGGAAGCCGTGTGGGTGATGCTGCCAGCGGTGGGTCGTTCTGCGGCGAACGAGCAACGCTGGTTGGTGGGGCAGCAGTGCGCTGCCTGCACTACAACCGCGGTGCGGTAGTGTGTGTGCGTGTGTAGCAGCGTGGTAGTGTGCATGTGTAACGAGCGGTAACTCACGATCTTGAGAAAGTCCCCCACGGGATCTTGCCCAGACGGCACGTCCTCCTTGGGCTTCAGGTATCTGCGGCAGAGCAGAGCACAAGGGTAGGAAAGAAATTCGCATGGTTGCGCGGAGATAGCAGCCTGGTTGCAGAACGAGCAGAGCTCAGTCGGCCTCCGTTTCTCACTTCTCGCTTTCGTTCTTCCCCCACGCGTGAGGAGTCTATTTTTGAGGCGCCTCAAAAATAGATTCTTCCCCCACCACTTAACTGTCCACATGAGTCATGCAATCTCCACCCCTTACCCCTTCCTCCGCCCTCCCTCCGCCCACCCTACGCCCTCCCTCCGCCCACCCTCCGCCCACCCTCCGCCCACCCTCCGCCCTCCCTCCGCCCTCTCTCCGCCCCCCTCCCCCTCACCCCTTGATCTTCTCGCGCAGCTGCTCGTCCGTCATGGCCGACCGTGCGTAGCCGAAGATGCGGATTTCGCCCACGGGGAGAAAGCCCTGCGCGGGGTTGAATGTGCGCAAGGGCGCGCGGGGAAGGGGGAGAGGAAGGCAGAGAACGGGACGATGAGAACGGGTCGCAACGAGGGTACCCCACCCCCCAACATGCGCAGGTAGGGGAGCGCGCAGAGAGGCGGGCAAGGGTGACCGCGTGGAGAGGTTTGGAAAAAGCAAACAAAAAATAGCGCGGCTTAAAACATTGAGTGCGGACCTGGTGGAAGAGATTAAAGAGCGCGGGAAACGTCTTCTTCTTCGCCAAGTCGCCCGACGCGCCGAAGATGACGATGGACAGCGGCCCTTCGGCGGCCGCGCCGGGGGTGGCGGTGGGCTTCTTTGGGCTGAGGCACATGCAGGGGATGGTCGGCGCGGGATCCACGCTCGCGGACGGCGACGCAGCCTTGGGCGGACTCGCAGTGACTGGCGGAGCGGCAGCCATTGGCGCGCACTACGGTGAATACTAGCGTAGAATAGCGAGCTAGGAGTAGACGGGCAGAAGGAAGCAAGGGTTCATGCACGTAAAATTGCGCACAGCAGGCTTCAAGTGGCCGCGGATTAGCTCGTGAATGAATGCACAAATTTGGGTTGACTTGAATCTGATTCAAAAGCATGCGCTGCTGGCGAGGGAGGCGCGCAATCCAATTATCCACCACGCGGAGGCCCCGGGGGGGAAGGGCGGGTTTGGTTTGGGGGGTTGGCAGCGCGCGCCCATGATGACGCTTCGTGGGGAACTTCGGAGTCAGCGAGAAACGACGGGGAAGGAACACGATGCCCGTTCTCCAAGTGATCAAGCCCTGTTACAGTCCTTGCTGATAGTTGAAAAACATGAATATGAAAAAAAAAACTCCTTCCATTAGAACTTATAGAAGGGCTCGTAGACTCCTAAAGGAAAACCAGCGACGAAAATGGAACCTACCTTTTACAAGGTCGCAATCCTAACTTGCCTTAACCATGGAGAATCTATATGCTGCTGATCGATACACATCAGCATGCGCTGCAATAGAAGCTGCACAAACACAGACGAAAAGGAGGTAAAACACTTGTGCATACAAGGCAGCCGGGGCAGAAAAAGCAGCAGAAGAGCTCTCACCATCGGGTGGCCGTGAGTACCCCCCCCCCATGGTAATGACCAAGGGCACATTGTTGTTGATGCATGTACTGTACACCATGTTGTTCCGCCGCAGCATGCCCGCTCTCGTCATTCCTAGCCTGCCAAAGCTGTCCTCCTTGAGAGCATCCACCCCTGCCTATATAGCACACAAAGCACAACCGAAGTCAGTTCTGCACACTCGCAACATAATCACCCACCAATAGCACAGAAACTATATCCCACAGCTTCAACACTCCCATCTGTCCACTAAACCTGTTCCCTGACCTGGAAAAGGACGAGGCTCGGCCGGTGCTGGTCAAACAGCCTTGGCAACCACTCCTCCAGCACAGCGAGGTAAGCTGCATCCCCTGTGCCGTCCGGCAGCTCCACGTCGTGGTCGGAGCGCATCTTGGTGCGCCACGGGTAGTTGTTGGCGCCGTGCGCTGAGAAGGTGATCACCCGGGGGTCGCCCTCAAATATGCTCGCCGTGCCATTGCCCTGCGGTGTCGCATAGCAGGCGGAGAAGAGACATGGGCATCGGAGGAGTGGAGAGTTCAATGGGGGAGCGCTCGCAACAAGAGCGAGGGATGACGGAGAAATGAGGAGAGCTGGCAAGGGGGGTTGGTCCGCAAGTACCTGGTGCACGTCCAGATCAAGGGCCAAGATCGGTCGGACGGCATTGCAGATGGTGGGGTAGTGAGCGAGCGCCACGGTGGCGGCTACTGCAATGTCGTTGAACACACCTGGTGGGATGGGGGTGGGGTGGGGGAGGGGGGAGATGGGAGAGGAGAGAAGTGACGGTGGAGAAACATGAGTTTCAAGGTAGCACTAGGTTTTGCGGAAAGTCAGCAAGAGTACCTCAGCTGAAAGCTCACAGTCATCACCCCAAGCTCGTCCCTCCAAAACCCATCCATCCGTGTGCACACTGCCTCCCATGCACCCCGTCGCCCATTCTCCCCCCTCATCCACCTCCTCCCAGCCCCTCACACCACAACTCCCCAGTGAGAACCCGACCCACTCACAGAAGCCCTCCCCGTGGCCTCTGAACGCGTGGTGTGTGCCGCCCGCCAGCACTCCTGCCGCCTGCCTAAGCCCCATCAGCACCGCATGGGTGGCTGCTACAGTGCCTCTGGGGGGGGAGAGTGTAGATAGGTGGTGCAGGAATGGCGAACTGTGGAGGAAGATAGATGCGAGATGCAATGGCAAACCGTAAGCAGCTTCACAATTAAGTCTCTCTCCCATATACCCACCCTCACCCACCCACAAACCGACTCACCCACTCACACAGCCACTCACCGACTCACACACCCACTACCCACTCACACGCGCTCATACCCGCATGAGGCCTGTGATCGCAGCAGCAGCTGGGGCGACCAGGGGAAGCCGAGGGTGCGCTGCTCCTGGGGGGAGAGCGAGTGGGAGAAGAGGCGTGCCAGGTAGCTGGGGGAGGCATGGGGATGGGGAGAAGGGGAGAGATGCAGAGTGGGGTCAGAGAGGTGGAGGGAGCGAGATGGAAAGGGAGGATGCATGCGCCAGGTACTACAGTGCAAAACACATGCAGACACTAGCACACATGCACCCAACCCCTACTGCTTTCAACTCCCATTCCCCTGCCCCCTTTCTGTCCGTTCCCTCATATCCGATTAATGCACCTACCCCTCCTCACGCACCTACCCCTCCTCACGCACCTACCCCTCCTCATGCACCTGCTGCAGCTCCTCCAGGGAGTCTAGGGGAGCGGGATGGACGGCCAGGATGCGATCTAAAGATGCATCTGACTGCAGAAGGAGGCGAGTGCTGCGGTACCTGCCACGTGGACACAGGCACATTCACACATGAGCGGATGGCAGTCAGGCATGTGCGCATGGGGATCGATCAGCCACGCATGAAGGTCAAATGGCCTCTGGCTGCATTCTCTCTCGCCCAATTCCACACCACTTAGAATAAACAAAAAACTTCCCCATGGAAGCAAACTTCCCCATCCACCCCTTGCAAGCCTTCCAAACAGGCGCTCACTTGTCCATGGGGAATCGATGCCCATCGGGCAGCGGAACCACGTGGTGGTCAGCATAGAACGCCAGCAGCCCTTCCGCGGATCCCGCTGCTATGGCCGCCTCCCTGGTCCCCTGTGAGCTCGCCACGTCAGCGCCATGATTCGCCAGTTCACCATCAGCTCTCGCCACGTCAGCGCCAGCGCTGGTGGTAGCAGAAACAGCGCGTCGCGAGTAAAGCCGCTCAGAAATTCTCACGCTGACGTCAGCCGAATCGAATCGCAGCGTGCCATAACCTGGCGAAACCAGTGATTGGCTCCTCCAATACCCCTTCCATCTGAGCGGACATCGCGGGCCACCTACTAGCGGGAACCGCAGATCAGCTGTCAGCGGAGATGCCATTATCGAGGATGTGATACTAGACGAAGTCGGAGAACCGAGCGCTCGTTCCGGCGAGCCTTGCGGGGAGAACGAGAGAGGAAATGTGCTTGCAATACTCGGTGTGCTAGTCTCCTCGGTAATACCAATCCCTGACGCTCCGACTCGGTGGTGCGCGCTACTAGTCTGGCTCGCAACGGCGACCCGGCTGTGCGAGGCAGTCTGGCGGCTGCAGCGGAAACAGTGGCTGGCGGCGGTGGTGCTGGTGCTGGCGAATCGCGAAAGGCGCCGGAATGATAGGGTCGCTGAGGCCATAGTACTACTAGGCGGGAACTAGGTGACCATGATGCGGACAGAAGTGGTACAGGGGGATAGTAGCGAGGCGGGATGTGAACTGAAGGGACACGGAAAAAAGGGAGGTCTACAACCGTGATATGTAGTTATCTCCACCCCGCCCCATGGGGAATGCCGTCACACAAGACCTTCACCGAGATGGGATCCACATGGGATCTGCATGCGATCACCAAGACCGTATTTGCCATGGGTTTCACTAGTCAAGGATGAACCAGGCTATGTCCTGCTACCAGGACTACAAGATGAAGGATGGACCATCTCAATTCCATAAGAGCATTTTACATTGTGAACAGCACAGCTAACACTAGACTACTCAGTGTCTTCCTAGGAGCCTAGGGATGGGAGCAAGCAGCAGCAGCAGCAGGGACAGGCAAGGTACGGCACAGCATGAGCATGCACACAGCAGGCCTAGACCCACTGAGGCAAGAAAAACGGCAAGGAGCCGTGTCAGAGCAAGCTGAGCCGTGCCTGCTGCCCCCACTGCTGGAGCTGCCAGCCACCCCTGGCAAAAAAGGTGAGACACACGCAGAGGCTGAGAGAGAAGGGGGGAACAGAACCATGCTACAAGCAAACAGAGCAGAGCAGCGGCAACAAGAGCCAACGCCCTTGCAAAGAAAGCTCCCGCGACGAAGACATGACGCTGGAGTGGTGGTCCACCTGGCTTTCCACTGGCTGTGACCAGGAAAAAAAAAAACATCTCCCGTGCCTGCTGTCACCATTGCGGTAATCTCAAACAGCAGCACTGCGAAGCAGATGAGGAGCCCGCGTCTCTCTGTACACATCTCAAGCCAGGAAGGCGGCAGGAGCACCGAGGTCGAACGAAGAGGCGTCAACCAGATCCCTCAAATCCCATCCCGACACGTCACCCGCGCCAGCACCAGCCATCCCAGCAGCGGCAGCGTGAGCTCCCCAGGCCCCGCCAGGCGCCATGAGATCGTACACAGGGCTGAAGCCAAACAGCATGCGGCCTGGCGCACTCGACATCTGCTCCAGGAACGTGTCGGGGCGGTGGGAGAGACTCTGGTTGCGAGGGAGAGCTGCATCGGGTGCAGCACAGGGGAGAGAGAAGTCAGCAGCACGAGGGAGAGGCGCCAAGGCTGACATGGCAGCTGCGGAGGGAGAAGCAGCAGCAGCTTTAGCAACGGTCGCCGTGGAAACGGCGCCGGCAGCAACGAGCTTCTCGAGAACCATGACTTCCTCGTGCAGCTGCAGCAGCAGCGTCATGTCCGCCGCATCCGACGCCATGACCTCCAGTTTCGCCGCTTGCTGCGCCTGCTGCTCCACATTCCCATGAGCCTGCGCTTCCGCCATTCCTTCCGCCTTGGCTTCCGCCTGCGCGTGCATCTGCGCCTGCCCCTGCGCGTGCAGGTACGCCAGCACCATGTCGTCATCGCTGTCCGAATCCGGCGCCGCCCCGCACGACTGTGATCCCGGCACCACCTGCTGCAGACTCGCGCCGGAGTTAGCGGGGAAGGAGCCGGCGGACGCCACAGAGGTCGGCACGACGGCGGACAGCGCGCGGGTTGGCGCGGAGAGAAGAGACGGACGGCGAATGGCGGCGGAGGAGGGACGCGACGAGGCGTCGAGGAGGGGAGGCGAGAGAGCAGCGGCAGAGAAGGGCTCGACGGAGACGTCTGATTTGGAGGACGCAGGATTGCTCTCTGCTGCTGCAGCGGGGTGCTTCTGGAAAGAAGACGCGTCACCGGCGATCTTGCGCAGAATCATGTTCACTACCGCGTCCGCCGCGCTCTGCTGGCCCGCGGGATTGGCTACTGAGGAATGAGCCTGCCGCTTCTGGTTGATGTGGTTGGCGGGAAATCTGCGACAAAAGCGAAGTAGAAGTTGTTATGAGCGATACGGGGCGACAAGAGGCAGTTGGAGTTTAGTCTATGGTGATGTCTTACGAGGCAGGGTTGACGGAAGACGCGGCGTTGACAAACTGCGCAGCAGCTTGACTGACGGCGTTCACTGATTGGCCGATTGTGACCAGCAACTGCTGAAGCTGCTGCTGGCTCTGCTGCTGCACGGAGAACATGCCGTGTGCCGCGCTGAGAGGAGACGAGGGGTTTGAAACGGCGGGAGAGCGCTGCGCGTCAACGAGGTTCGGCATCCACGCGGAACCGCCGCCATTACCGGTTTGATCTTGAATACTGCGGCACAAACAAGAGTTCGTAAGAGATCGGACCGGAAAAAAGAAGCGAGCGACGAGACGAGGAACTAATTAAGTTTCGAAGTGTGACAAAATTTAAGCGGGAATATCCCTTACGTGTTGAGAGCGGACTGCAGAATCGCGGGTCTCGAAAGGGAGGGAGCCACAACGCGCTTGCAGATGACGCGAGACGACGCGTTCACGTGGAGAGCAGTTTCCGCCGAAGGGGATGCGGGAGCGCGAAGCATCGACGAGGCAACCGCTGAGGGGCTTTGAGGCTGAGAGTTGACGTTGATGTACGGAAAGATGGTCTGCAGATTCTGTCCCTTAGCTCGGGCCTGAAAGAATTTCCTGCGGGTGAGGAAAAACATCATGTGAGAAAATGAGGAATCAGCTTATCAAGAAAACGAAGAGATCGACGGCTGTCGAAGATCGCAACTCGTCAAGTTACCTTTTCAGAAGGATGAAGCGATTGCAGCACGCCTTCTGATCGCGATGCGGGAGAGTAGAGCTGGATTGAAGGGAGCCCCAGTGCTTGGTGCCGTAGCGTGCCACGTGCTGCAACAGAATGACATCTTCCTGCGCGGACACGCGAAACGGAGAACGGGTTCGCGGAAAGAAACGAGTTAGGATGCGAGTCGAGCAAAAATTGGGCTCTGCGATGAAAACTGCGTATACTCGGAGTTCGTAGATATCCGTAAATTATAAAACCTACCTCGGGAGTCCAGAGCGATCCTACTTGGCGCGTATCAACCATGGTCGATAGGTTCTTGCAATTCCAATCAGCTAAGCTAGAAGATGGCGCGCCAGTCTGTGAGCTACCGGAGTGCTGGGAAAAAGAGCGGTGAACCGCTCTCAAAAAAGATAGAATAGATAATGAATTGAGATTGCGCGGGTTATAGCTGCTCCGAGAAGTGTTTGTGGGGGGACGGAGGGAGGCGGTGATGGGGATGGGATGGGAGTTGATGGAAGGAGAGGCGCTGGGGGGAGGGTGGGGGGAGGGCAGTGCGGGGAGGGCAACGGGGGAGGTGGCACTTTTTGGTGCGGGAGTTGGGGGGAGGCGGAGAGAGTTGCTGGCGGATGACACGGGGTGGGGAAGGTCTGAGGCGTTGGAGGGGGGGCGACTGGGTGGGTGGGGTTCCTTCAGGGGGACTCGGCTGGCCCGGGTTTTTGTTCTGGCGGGGTTTGATTTGGCTGCGCGGCAAAGTGGGAGAGGGACGGAGGGAGGGACTGACAGAGCTGAGACGATGAGCTCCACTTTATGCTGCGCGGACGAGGGGGCATTTTCTGGCTTGACGGGGTGGCCGTACCTCCAAAACAAGTCGGCGCGAAAGTTGCTGACGCAAGTCTGGGACGTTCGAGCGCACGTGATTGGCCCGAAACCCACAGCCAGAGCTGGTTGGGCACGAAGGTGTCGAGGAAAGTGTCCCCCGGAGTGGCGTGCTGTCGGCAGGAAGAGCCAAGGGGAGGAGGGGGTGTGGCGGATGGTTGCGCACATGACGAGCGGATGGAGGTTTTCCGCTGACCTCTGTCTGTGGTTTGAAACGGACAGTTGCATCGCGGTTCGCATGAAAGGCATCAAGCACAAGGACAGATGGCAACAAGGCTTACTTTTGGTTTTTAGTCACCCTTAAGAAAGCTGGCTCCTCGAGATTTCACCCTTGATGTTTAGGGTCCAGAAACTAAAACCCCTAACCATTAGGATTCGTTCGCACAGTACCCTTTTCACTGCCACTGTTAGAATCTACCAGAAGATGTATTGGCTCTACGAGAAGGGTATTAGTAACGTGCACGGGGCTGTAAGGAGATAATAACGAGAATTTACTCTGATCTCCCCTCTGTGACAACGAGGCGTGAGTACGTCCTGTGAGGGGAGAAGAACGAAAATCTATGGAGTTGTCTCCCCTCTTTTGTCACTCGGTGTGAGCACGTGCTGTGCGGGGAGAACAACGAGAATCTTCTAAGGGAGTTGTTCCTCCTGAGGAGACCCCCCCTGCGGCCCTACCAGCACTAGTAGTACACTCAGGATGGAAAAAATATACCCTGAATCTCTAGAATTGTACCGTGCATCATCCTTAATCCTCCGGATCAATCAGAACCCAATCCTTAATTTGTGAGGTCAGCTGGGAAAAAGGCGTTTATTTGACTCAAGTTCAGAGAAACAACCCTTGAAAAATAGGCCCCGGATGGCAACCAAGAGACCCACGGAGGGCCATGTCACCAGGTCAGCATGCTATCCAATCCTCTACAGAACCGTCGTCCTGAGGAGGTGTGTGAAAATTGAAACACCTAGGGAAGCCCGAACTGAACTCAATATTTTGGAAAGAAAATTGTTATCGCAAATAAATACCGAAATAGACAGTCTCATGGGTAGAAAAGTTGTAATGTAGGGAACACAACCAAAAGTTTCAACAGAAAAGACAAACGTTGCATCCAAGTTGGAGCGCGTGATGTGGTCCACCGCGCAATCCTAACAAACTCAACTCAATCAACCACCCTGAAAGGACGTGTCACGTCGATTCGAGACTTCCTTGGATTGCATTCGCTCAAGCCAGAACCGCGTGCTTGGACGAGGTTGCGCCACGAAATTCGAAAAGACGAAAGCGGCAGCCAAAGCTGCAAATTTCAAACAAACGCTTTTTGGCTTGATTGCGCCTCTCTCGAATCTGGCTGGCTGCCCTTACGTCCAAGTGGGAAACACAACCGTCCACCATGCAAGAGCTGACAACGGGCCTCAATCGCTCTGGATTGGTTGAGGATTCAAGAAATCGTCAGGAAGGATAACGATCACGTGAGCTGAACAGTGACGGTGAGAAGTATCGTCGGAAGTTAGCCCCATCCCCGCTGTACGACCCCGAGTGTTGGAGATGACTGCTGCTGCTATCACTGCTTCAACCTCCATGGTGCCCCACGTTTACAAGTTATATTTCCTCTCCAATATTAAAGCCCGACCAACGGGATGCATATTGACACTGTTGAGGTCGGTGGGCCGGCAGCAGATGATTGGCTAAAGATAAATAGGTATTACGAAAATTTATGGCGAAGGTTTGTCTTCGCTAAGGTACCCGCTTGCGTGTGAGTATCGGGAGGGTTGGATGTTATATTATATATGTTAGTATATAATTGTAGGCTTGGTAGGCTTACTGAACTTTATTGTAGAGGGTATAACACCCCTCCTTGTATCCCTCTCTCTTCTATTCTGATTCTCTTTTCTCTCCTCAACTTTTCTCCTTCCTAAACCTGACGCCACTCCATGGCTCCTCCTAGCTAAACCTCGTGTCTTTCCTAGCTTTCTAGCTAAGCTAGCCTTCTAACATGCTATCAGAGCAGAAGGTCCTCCCTGCTGGACCGCCTCCTCACGCTTTCGCCGCGTACTCCTCACCCTTGTTGGCTCGCGCGGCCATGGGGGCAGCGTTTTGCTGCAGTGGCGGCGTCGTGATGCCGCTGGCCGCGTCGTGTCGCGGCCGTCTCGACGCGCTGCTGTGGTGTCGGGCCATCGTGCTGCCGTCGCAACGTCGACGTCCCGCCGCGGCGTCGACGACGCTCTGTGACGGCATCGTCGGGCTGCAGCCGGCCGCGCGACGCCTGTGGCGCCCCTCCCCCCCCCTCCTTCCCCTGTGTCCTCTTCCTTTCCGCAGACTACGGCTGACTCCCGCCGGCTGTCCCACCGTCGCGGGGCCTAGCCACGTCATCGAGAGGTGCGGGCGCCGCCGCCGCCGCTGTTGTCGAAGCCGCCGCAGCCGCCGCTGTTGTCGAAGCCGCCGCCGCCGCCGCCGCTGTCGACACTGCCGCCGCTGCCGCCGTCGCCGCTGCAGCCCCTGTGGTCGACGTCGCCGCCTCACGCGCCAATGAGTCGACCGAACTAGTGTCGCTGTCACTGTGGCTGGAATGGGGGTGCTAGGTTAGGGGGTGTGGGTGTGTGTGGGCTTGTGTCTACCAAACCTAGGGAGTGTGTCGAATTATATATGTTAGTATATAATTGTAGGCTTTGTAGGCTTACTGAACTTTACTGTAGATGGTACAATACCCCTCCTTGTATCCCTCTCTCTTCTATTCTGATTCTCTTTTCTCTCATCATCCTTTCTCCTTCCTAAACCTCAGGCCATTTTATGGCTCCTCCTAGCTAAACCTCATGCCTTTCCTAGCTTCCTAGCTAAGCTAGCCTTCTAACATTGGAAACTTGGCAGGAGTGCCAAGTTTTGTGCCTCTCATTAGGCAGGGGTTCAACTCGGCAGCAGCGCCAAGTTTCGCTCCTCCCATGAAAGTCTTTTTTTCCGATGCTTGGGAACCCCGATTTCTACCCCCGATAAGTTTACGACAGTGAAATCCTTTCAGTGGTTCCAATTTCCAAAAAACGCGCCACAGTGGAAGTGTATTCGCACGTTTACGCATCGAAATTGTCCAACGCGCAGGGAATTACTTTCTACTCGTGCTCTGTTTCCTGCCCTCGGGACTTCCATACTGCCAAGTTTATCGAGGGTTCAGCTTGAGCCAGCCTGGCCAACTCATACAGTTCAGCAATTGCTTCCTTGTAACAGGTGCTCAAGATGATGCATCTTGAGCTGAACTGACTTGCAACCTAACCGGTCGGGCTTTAAAACCCGCGGCCCGAATTGTTCATACGCACTGCATCTGAACTTAGAGCCTCGGCCTGGACGAAAGACGCGGAAAAATCGGGAGGGTGTTTCTATCAGAATAATTGAATGATGGTAAAGTGAGAGTACACACAAATATATCTAAGTTTTGTATCCTCTAAGAGGTGACTCTATACAGTCTATACAAACATGACAAATACACATGTTTGACACACCCCCTAGACTGCATAGGGGAATACCCTAAACAAGCAGCTCAGGGCGGCACTACTAGTCCAACCTCTGAGACAAGAGTCTGAGCGACCGGTCAGAAGGAGTACAGACAAGGCAAGCACAAGAGCAGGGCGGCACTACTAGTCCAGCCACTGGGAGAGGACACAAGTCCAGTCTGAGTATACATATAAAGGACAGTACAAAGTCAAGGTCCTAGCAAGTGAGAGGCTACAGGAACTAGACCAAGCTGTACACAGTGCCGCTGATGATCTTTAGGCGCAAGCGCCTTCGTAAAGATATCAGCCGTGTTGGCACCTGAGGCCAAGTGTACTACGCGAGCCTGACGTCGCTGCTGTAGCTCACGCAGGAGGAAGTACCGCAGCTGAATGTGCTTCGCTCTGCCCTCGAGTCGAGGCTCCTGACACAGGAGGATCATGGCCCTGTTGTCAGCGAACAGGACCGGGGCAGAGCTAGGTCGCTCACCTAAGTCAGTGAGCAAGAAGGTCAGCCAGCGGAGCTCCTGTGCCGCCATGGCACCGGCGTAGATCTCAGCCTCACAGCTGGACTGTGCAACAGACGAGGAGCGAGTAGCTCTCCACGAGACGGCACCTGAGCCAAGGCTGAAGCAGTAGCCCTGGGTAGACCGGAGTGTCTCAGCGCCGTCTGCCCACGAAGCGTCTGTGTGCCCAGTAAGGACCGCTGGCCTGCGTCCTCCTAGCACTAACCCCATGCCCGATGTACTAGCAAGATAACGCAGAACCCTCTTAGCGGCAGACCAGTGCTGCGGTCGGTGTCTGCCTGTGGCCACAAAGCGAGCCAGGATGCTGAGAGGGTATGCGAGATCTGGGCGAGTGCAAGTCATCAGGTACATGAGGCAACCCACCAGCTCTGCGTAGGGGCCGCTGGGCTCTACCAACTCCTCAGGCACTGGAGCAAAGAGCCTGTGGTCTACAGGCAGAGGGGTGGGCTGTGCAGAGGAGAACTGAAGGCTGAACCTCTGAAGGACCTGGCGCACCAAGTGTGACTGAGTCAGGGTGATGGTGCGCGCAGCTCTGTCCCTGGAGATCTGCAAGCCAAGGTAACGGCGCAGTTCTCCAAGGTCAGTGCAGGTGTGTCTCTTCAGCAGCTCTGCCTTCACGGAGGCCAGCGCGTCCCTGTCTGCTGTGGCAAAGACCAGGTCGTCGACGTAAACGAGGATGTAGAATGGAGTCTGGCCAGCACGAACGAAGAGTGAAGGGTCTGCAGAAGACGGAAAGAACTGCAGGTCAGCAAGCGTAGCACGCAGAGTGTCGTGCCACTCACGGGGAGCCTGGCGCAGGCCGTAGACGGGGCGCCGCAGGAGCCACTGGGTCCCAGGAGGGAAGGTGCCAGTAAAGCCCGGAGGGCGGCGCAGGTAGACCTGCTCGTGTAGG